GGCACCAAGCAGAAAAACACTATGTCTCCTAATAGCTCTGAGGAAAAAGTGGAAAACACCTACCCAAATGAAGAACTTGTCGAAAAAGTGTTGCCAAGGATCAATCTTATAAGCAAGTCTACTAGCTTACCTACTAAGATTAAAAATCAAGAACCTTTACAATTAACGGTGGAGCTGAATAGTGAGAAGGTAGTTGATCAACCCCCTAGGTCTCCAGACAACAATTCGAAAGATATTATCAACTGCAGAAAGGACAAAGATCTCACTGCATCCAGTTCTACAATCTCCAACAGAGAAAAACAGGGATCACAAGCACAACGAGAAAATACTCAGTACAAGGATGATGATACTGCATATACTAGAGGAAGAAGCAAACAAAGAAGAAGAGGAAAAAGATCCAACGCAAAGACTCGTTCTCCCAGTAAGAAAGGAGAGCAGAAACAAAACAAAAACCCCTCTGCTAGTATTCCATGATCAGTGCTATTTTTTGGAAAATTAGGGGAATGAGATTAAAAAAAGCAAATCACGGAATTAAATACTTGGTTAACATTAACAAAGTGGTCTACCTTTCTATTTGTGAACCACTTGTTAATATAACTAAGATTGAGGGATACAAGAGGTTTCTTGGATTCAAATATTGTATGGCTAATACAAATGACAAAATATGGTGTTTTTGGAATCACATTGATCAAGATGAAGTCATTGCGAATGAAGATCAACAAATTACTATTAAATTCAAGGACAAGAATGGCACCAATGGTAGATACATATATGCTATCTATGCCAAATGAACTTCCTTGGAAAGAAGAGAGTTATGAGATAGTTTGGAAAGTATGAGCAACTCCATAGATGATCCATGGTGTATTGGAGGAGACTTCAATGCAATAATGGATCCTAATGAGAAACTAGGGGGCATACCCCACAGGGCTAGCAGATGTTTTGACTTTATTAGCACCATGGAGACATGTGGACTATCTGATATTGGTTTTGTTGGTCCTAGGTATACTTGGTGTAATAACAGGAGACCCGGTAAAAGAATATGGAAAAGACTTGATAGAGTGTTCGTTAATGATCTATGGGCTAAAAACTATCAAACTAACACCATCAAACATCTGGCTAGAGTTGGATCAGATCACAGACCTTTACTGATGAAAAACCACTCTGATCAGAATGATTTCATCAGATACTTTAGGGTTTTAAACCTATGGACTCAGCATCATCAGGACTTCCTTCAGGTAGAGCAAGATTCTTGGAATATGAATGTCATTGGTAATGCCATGTGGAAATTACAAAGTGAGTTAAATGCTCTCAGCAAAAGATTCAGTCAGTGGCCTAGAAACACCATTGGAGATATTTATGAACAGGTTAACACTTGGGAAGCGAAGGTGCAGCTTGTGGAAGAACTGAATCTTGTCAATAATACTGAACAAAGCAGGGAGGAATTGAACAAGGAGCATGCGGAGTATGTGAAATGACTCAGTATGCAAGAGGCTCTTCTTAGGCAAAAGGCTAGAATCAGTCGGTTTAAAGATGGAGATTGTAATAGCAAGTATTTTCACAGTGTTATTAGAGACAGCAGGAAGAAACTTCACATTCACGGGATCAAGAACCACAATGATAGATGGATTCAGGGGGAAAACAAAATTGCCAAAGCTGCTATTAGGCATTACAGGAAACTTTTTAATTTGGAGCAGCCTGGTATGAATAACAACTTCCTGGAGTGTCTTCCGAGTGATGATAATGAAGCACTTCACAAAAATCCTATGGAGGAAGAAATCAAAGATGCAATATTTGATATGAGTGCTGACAGCAGTGCATGACCAGATGGCTTCAATGGTAAGTTTTTTCACACTTGTTGGGATATTATAAAATATGATATCTGTGAATTTATTGTTGAATTTTTCTCTGGTAAAAAGCTTACAAAATATTTCACTCACTCTTGTCTGGCCTTGATTCCTAAGGTTGACCCCTTCCAATTTCTCTCACCTGAGACCTATTAGTCTAAGCAATTTTTCCAACAAAATTGTTTCCAAAATTTTAGTGAGAAGACTGAATCCTATCCTGTATAGACTCATTTCTGTTAATCAAAATGGCTTTATTACTGGTAGGTTGATTACTGAAAATGTTATGCTTGCTCAAGAAATTGTTCATGGCAATTAGACATGGCTAAAGCTTATGATAGAATGGACTGAAATTTTCTTAGAGAAGTCTTTAAAAGATTTGGTTTTTCAGACAAATGGATCACTCTTATATGGAATCTTATTTCTAATGTTTGGTACTCCATTTTGATTAATGGCACTAGATATGGCTTCTTCTGATCCTCTATCTCCCTCTATTTTTATTTTGGGTGGAGAGTTTCTTTCCAGAACTCTGAACAATTTGCTCATGACTAATGATAACTTTACTCCTTTTTCCATGCATAAAAGAGGCCCCCAAATCAATCACCTTGCTTATGCTAATGATATTGTTATCTTCAGTAGTGGAAATAGTAAGTCTGTTAAACTTATTATGAAACAGGTGAAGAATTATAAAAGTGTCTCAGGTCAAAGAGTGAACAAGGACAAAAGTTACTTCCTCACTAGCCCTAAAGCTGGTGCTTACAAGATTAATAGAATGAGGAGCTGTGTACTGGTTTCATGGATAAAAACTTCTCTTTTACATACTTGGGTTGCCCCATTTATATAGGGGAAAAAATTCTTACTTTGATGACATGGTCACCAAGGTAGTCAAAAGACTCAACGGCAGGCAGGGTAAGATGCTCACCAATGGTGGAAGAATTGTTCTGATCAAAAGTGTTCTTCAATCTCTTCCTATTTATACTCTCATTTCCCTTAACCCCCTGATATCACTCTTAATCTGTTAGAAAAACATTTTGCAAGATTTTTCTGGGGTTTCAATGAGAATAAATTCAAGACCATTGGATATCATGGAAGAACTAATTATGTATCTCTAAAGATGAGGGTGGCGTGGACATTAGAAGCTGTATAAATGATATTTCTAAAACATTGTCCATTAAAAGATGGTGGAGGTTAAGAACTCAACCATCTCTTTGGGCTAGGTTTATGATGGCTAAGTACTGCTTCACAATCCACCCTGTATCTAAATCTTGGATTCGGGGTAATTCGCAAGCTTGGAAATGTTTACTTAAAGCTAGAGATGATGCAGAACACAACATTTGTGGAAGATAAATTGTGGCAATTGTAATATGTGGTGGGATAATTGGTGTGAGAAAGGCCCTCTTGCTAAACTATAGCCTGATTGTACGTACAATGTTGTGCATTCTGTCAAGGAGTACATTTCTAATGGTAATTGGAATATGGATATGCTTAAAGATGTGCTCCCTGATAATATAGTTCATCACATTGGTAACATCTCAATCGGGGATGAGAATCATTCTGATTATGTTATATGGAACCTTACTCAAGATGGTCTTTATTCTAACATCTCTGCTTGGCAAATCATAAGAGAGGTTAGACAGAAAAACCTCTTCTTAGGCAACGTATGACATAAAAATCTCCCTTTCAAAATATCCTTTTTCACTTGGAGATTAATCTTTAAAAAAATCACCTTATGATGAAGTCCTTCACAAGTTTGGAAAATGTTTAGTTTCTAATTGTATGTGTTGTACAACTCTAGTTGTATGTGAATCCTTGCAGCAGTTTTCAGTAATAGTGATATGGCCAAATACATAGGGAAATTTTTTGGAAACTCCCTTGGAATTAATCACCGAGGGGGAGATGTTCAAAGAATTTTCAGAGTTTGATGGAACTTAAGCACCACCAACAGTGTATAGAGTATGATGCAACAAATTACCGCTATTTGCATTTCTTGGGAAATCTGGAAAAGCTGGACAACTTATAAATATGGCGGTATAAAAATTTTGTGACTTAAAGTATGGAGGTGCATATCCCGTGGAATATCAAGGCAGCCATTTCCACTGCCTTGCCAAACTGTGACACTACAGGTACATGGGCTGAATTTTGTGCAAGAATTGAAAGGTATAAACCTATTGTGAGATGGAGACAAGTCAGGTGGATGAAACCTGAGATAGGTAAGATCAATGCCAACACAGATGGGAGCTTCATCAACGAAAACTCTAGAGTTGGTATAGGAGGAATCATTAGGGATGCTACTGGTAACCTTATCATGGCATTCTCAGTCCCTGCTTGACCAACAATCAAGCTGAAGCTATGGCAGCATTATATGTTACCAGATGGTGCAAGCAAGCTGGATACAACAAATATGACTTGGAACTTAATTCTATGTTACTGGCCAACATGATCAAAGATAAGGATACCAAAAATTTGAAGCCGGAAGGAATTATTCGAGACATTGGCCAGACCATGAATGGGGCAGAAGTAAATGTTTCCCACTGCTATAGAGAAGCCAACCAAATAACTTACTTCTTTGCTAAACAAGCCTCCTCAAGTGGAAGTGGTACTTTTTATTATTCTTTTCGTCAATTTCCTAAAGAGGTGAAGGGACTATTTCTATTAGATAAGTGGCAACTTCCTAGCAGAAGGAGAAGATACGACAAATGTAATTTTTTTGTTAGTTGAACCAGTGTATCTTGCTTATAGTATGAAAGTCTATGTCATCATAGTCTTTCTGTTAATTGTTTAGTTTATCCTCGTTGTTCTTTATCAGAGGTTAGGTCCATGTCCCCCTCTGTTTTTGTAACTCTTTGGATGATATAGACATGGTAGGGGTCAAGCCTAACCCCCCACACCGTTAAGGTGATGGCTTAATTTTTATTTTTTTTTTAAAAGCAATCACCAACTGAATACTAAAAATATACAGGCAGCAAAGTGTACAAACAGCCAATTAAAAGGGCCACCGTTTGGCTCACTTAAATCGAAGGAACATTCCTAAACTTCGCAAAGAGCTATAGTTGATTGTCAATAGGTCGCAAATTAGGTAACAGAGAAAGATAGTCTACTTTTTTCACTAATCTTGAAGTTTCAGCTAAAGCTCAATTCCTTCGGCAGATCAGAAACTAATCACTCCTTACTCTTTTCCGCAGGAGACTCAACGTCACTATCCACAGGAGCCACTGCACACTCATGAGAACTGCTTCCACTTGATGCATCCCCCTGCCTATAACTGTTGCCCATTGGTGGTGGATACACAAAATAACCATGGTGATGAGCCATTGGAAAATTAGGAGGCAGGTGATTGGGCATGAGGCTGTAGCCTGAAGCTGGATTAACCATTGGGCGCTTCAACGGCAAAGGATCTCCTCTCACGGATCCACGCTCACCACCATCCAACTCACGATAACGTTGCAAGTACAAAGTCAAGGGTTCAACGTAGTCATCAAAACCAAGTGCGTTCATGGCCCAAAGCAAGTCTTCAGCAGTGATTGTCTTGCGCTGCTCAAGCTTGCAACGATCGTTAGCTTCGCCTGTTACAAAGCTTATGAACTCAGAGACACATTCTTGGATGACCAGTTTGGATTCATCGGCTATCTTGGCTTGGGGAGGAAGGATCTTGCGCATGTTTCTGACCACGTTGGCTATTGGCATGAATCGGTCTTGCTCCCGAATGGTGCATTCAGAATCTTCTTCATTGGCAGCAATTTCCTGGTTGAGATGAGAAGGCAGCTCCATGCTTCTCTCCATATCTTAATTTCACACAACAACAAAGCATCAGAGTGAAATGAAAAAGAAATGTAGTATATATAATCAAAATATTCATCTAATTTCATCACAACTAGCTAGGCTTTTGTAGTTCAAATGTCCAATTAAACATTAGTAAATCACATTTGCTATTAACTAACTTTTCAAGTATTGAAGCAATTACAGAACTAATGGCGCGCGCATATATATGTTTCACTAATTATTAGCTGCATATGAGAGTAGTACTACTGTAAGACGGCACTATGAATTGTGGACAATATTCATGTAAACACCAAAAGCACATATTATTTCAACAAAAGAGATGGCCAGTGTGAAAACAGACTAATTAAAGTAATATAAAACACTTCATGTATAGTTTTCGTCATCTTACTTATTTTGTCTGATCTTCAACTAACTCTGGCATTTATCAAACCATCCAAATTCACTTCTGATCAAACGCCTTTTTATTTTATCATCAATGTGATAAAGGAATAAGACAAAATTGTATCGTAACGGACACTACACTACCCACTGTTTTCATAAACTCTATATTTGTAGTACTAGTTGTTCTTAAAGTTATATGCAATGCTTCTTAAGCTTTAGATAAATAAATGCTTGTCAGATTTTAATTATTTTCTTAAAATGACTATTTGTTCTGATGATAAATTTGTTCTGTATTTTAATTTTATGGCAAAAACAGGAGTAATAAAAATAAAACTTGTCTAATTTGTGTAATACAACTTGCTTGTTTTCAAACTTGCTAGCTTTACACAGTTTCTTTCTCACTCTCTTTTTATTAATTGCTTTCCACTTGTTCCCCTTTTGTCTTAAAAGTACCAAAATAAAACCAGAAATTGCCGTGTCGATCACCATTACCATGAATTGATCTATTGATCTTTGATATACAAACAACTAGCTTTGCAATTATGTATATGGAAAAAAATGCATATATAGTCCCTAGATAATTAAAGACGGGTGTTTAGTAGATGACGATACAACAAGCTAATAAATGTATACAAGTTGCAGCTCTCCATCTAAAGAAGATAATGAAAAATTCAGAAGAATGAATGAAAATTATTAGCTCTCCTGAAAAAAAAGTATCCTTTTTGCTATCTTTTTGGGGGCTAGTACTGTGTGTGCTTCAACATTTATAAAGCTTCACAAATATATGAATATTCAACAAACCTAGTATATATAAATTCACAAGTGATGTCTGAAAGAGTGATGTGTATGCATTTGTAGCCCTACCTTCTTGTGAAGATAGAGAGATTATTCTTAACAGACGCTCGGCTCGAGTAAGCATATAAAAATCAATTGTACAAAACAGACACAAAGTTTCATGAATGTTCCATGGAGAAGGGGAATGCATTTGTAAAAGTAAAATAGTAGTTAGGTAGCATACCAGGGGAAGGGGAACGGGCAGGGGTTGGTTGCGGGGATCTGCGATAGCTATGAAATCCTCCATTTCCTGAACCAACATGATTACCATTAGCCATCTCTCTGTACAGATATGTATCTCTCTCTAAATTTATAAAGTGGCTCTTGGCAAGTGATATTTATAGCTACAATATTTAGGAGAAAGGGGGGGACACATAGCAGTAGGGCGTAATGAACGAGGTGAAGGTATTCGCCCGGATAAATAGGTTTTCACAGTTGGGCAAATGAGAATTGACCGAAAACAACATAGTTATATACTACTACTTCCTCAACCCAAAATAAGTGTAATTTTATCTCATTTGACGTCCATTAAGGAAAATAATAAATTGAAGGTATAGTTTATTAAGCTACCTTTATTTATTAGATGTTCTTGAGAATTGAATACTATTAAGGAGTAGTTCTTTAATACGAAAGTATAGTTGGAAAAACATACAAATTTTTGCCTTGAATTCCTACGATATTTTGGGAAAATTTATTGTTGGCTAAAGCGACACTTATTTTGGGAAAGAGGGAGTATACGTTACTTACAGTTTAATTTTCAGCCATTTGGCCACTTAAAAACCACCCAAAAACAAATAAAACCCCGAATATGTCTGAATAGCAACTTTGTAACCATTTGTGAAATTTACCAACACTGAATGCAAACTTTTATCATCCACAATAGAACATCTTACATATGACAAAGCAAATCTGACTATAAATGGGACAACATCAAACACATAAAATAAGTAAATTTTGTGGCAACTTCCAATTCAGTTTAAGTATGACATCAACACACTTTTAAAAAAGAAGTCGTACGTAATACGCCACTGGGAAAACAGGTTGTAAATGAAGCTTAGCAGTTCCCTCAAATTTTCCTTAAAGTTTATGGGATTGCCTAATTTCTTGCACTGTTCAATGATCATCCTCACAAGTTTTGGAGAATGAGAAAAGAGGACTCTTATTAAGTACATTCCAGTACTTGATCCCTTGAATTTCCGCAACCTCACTGTTTGAATCAATCTCATAGCTTCATTCACATGGTCTTTTTCCATTGATAAGTAAGATAACAGTTCCGTTCTCTGACTCAATGTCTCATCAATCTGAAGACAAAGTCTCTTAATAGTCGACCTACATTACCAAAGTTAAAGATATAAAGTGTAACAATAAAACTTAATGGCAATATGAAAGTTTTAAAGATTTCGAATAAATAAAGAAAGGTGTTTATACATAGGACTGTCCTTATTAGGTAGGGTATGTCTTACCTTTACAACCTCGTCTATTTCAATTTCGTAAAAGTTAGGAGAAGTCCTAAGCAGGCAAACTACACAAGAAAATACTTTCAACTGAAATCTTAAAGTCACAAATTTTCAGGCTTTGCAGTTTTAGTGACTGGCGAGACCTGTCTGGCACATCAACCGAGCAATGTGTCTGAAACAAAAGATGCCAAAAAATGAAATTATGGAGTGTTGGTTAAAACAGCTACGAAAATAAAACGAGGCAGCATAATTTTGTTACCTCTAGGGATGTTCCATTCAAGCAAAGATGCTTAATGATTCTAAAGATTGGGTTCACATTAAAACACTCAAATGTAATTTTATAGCTGCCAAGGATAGACAAGTTCTCAAGTACTTGGAGAAACCAAATAAACGGAGTCAATATCAACACAAAATCTCAACTCCAAAATCTCGAGCATTAACTGATTAAGTGTTTTTTTTAATCCTATAGTACAGGCAATTGCAGAATCCTCGAACTGAAGACTAACATGATTGGGGAATTGAGTACCAACATGCTTAAGGATACATCTCAATAGCTTCAAATATGTCAATGTTTCACAAGTAAATATGCTATCAGGCAACACATATTTTTCATCATTGGCCATATCAAGATTAAGCTTCTAGATACCATAATTTTAGACAAAGATGTCTATCCCGGAGAGAAGATGCAATCCCAGAATATTTCCAGTATGTTAAGCATGAGAATTTTATGAATTATGCTAGCAGCATATAAGATACGTACTTAAAAAACAGGGGATCAAACACAAGATTAGGTTGTGTAGACCATAACAGCCTCTAATGTTTTGATAAGATTCTAGCTCTTGCAGCGTATTTGATGGACATTAGCTCTAGTACTCTATATAGTGTGTCAGTTGGTAATTCAGAAATAATAGAGAAGGGTCAACTATATGATTCGTCATTACATTTTTTTCTTTGATCTTCAAAATTCGGGGATCGTCACTACATTTCACTGACTATGAAAAGTTGAAAACAAATAATTACTGCCATAAGATTGTAGTTTATCTGCTTTAGTCATATCCTACATTGTTACAGTGATGTGCTTTTTATACGTCAGTGAGTTTGAATAAAGGGTATATTGGTACTGGACTAATGTAGCAGTCGGTAACAGACCCTCTAATATAGATATTAACAGTAAGCCTGTTTGCACCTGAATTAATTCATTAGAAGAACTGATTGGGATGAAGAATCAGTCGTATATGCTCTTCACTAGTGGAAGATCAAGAAATAGCATCCATCTCGGTGATATACAACCCTTTCAGAATTCATATTCATAAGTTGACAACAGATAGTAGTATAAAGTATAAAGTTGCCAGTAGAATGAAAGGAACGATGTGTTTTATTGATTGTAAACTAAGTATATATAGATTCTGTACAACTTCTACAACAAAGAGATAAACTAAGAAAAAGGTAAGACTTATCTATAACCTATATATAAGGAGGAAGTTACAACAGAGTCCTAAAGAGAAGACACTACTAAATCTGATCCGTTATTACGCTCGCAAGTTGGTGGTGTCAACAATACCCAACTTGGAAAATTACTGGACAAAAGAAGCTTTGGGAAGAGGTTTTGTGAGTATGTCAGCCACTTGATCAGCCGAGTGAAGGTGGTGAACTTCAATATCCTTGTTCTGAACTTGTTCACGAACAAAGTGAAAATCAATGGTGACATGCTTCATCCTACTATGAAAGACTGGATTGGAACAAATGTAAGTGGTGCTGATGTTGTCACAGAAAACCTGTGGAACTCCCTTAAGTGAAAGCCGAAGTTCATGAAGAAGATTTGTGATCCAGTTGGTTTCTGCAACAGCAACATCCACAGCTCTATACTCAGCTTCTGTAGAGGACCGAGATACAGAGCGCTGTTTCTTGGAGGCCCAGGAAATTGGTGTGTTGCCCAAGAAAGTGATATAGCCAGAGGTAGAAGTGCGATCATTTGGATCACCAGCCCAATCTGAATCTGAATAAACAACCAAACGGAAATATGGAGCTTTGGCAATCTGTATGCCATATTGGCAGGTGTGACGAAGATAACAAAGTAATCGCTTGATTGCTTTCCAGTGAGAGTGGCGTGGATTGTGCATAAATTGTGAGAGCTTGCTAACTGTGAAGGCAATATCAGGACGTGTAAAGGATAAGTAGTGCAACTTTCCAAATACCTGCCTATAAAGAGTACCATCAGCTGGAGGATCATTCACTGAAGGTGTCAAAATGGTAGTTGAGGTCATAGGTGTAGGGGCTCCTTTACTGTCTAGCATGCCAACATCCTCTAAAAGATCCATGATATACTTGTGTTGTGACAAAAAAAGACCAGCAGTAGAAGAGATAACCTCAACACCCAAAAAATAATGGACCTGTCCAAGGTCTTTCAAGGAGAAACGAGTGGAAAGACCATCGATTATATGACGAACCCCACAAATCTGATTGCCAGTGATGATTATATCATCCACATAGATAAGAACATAAACAGTGAATCTAAAATTATGTAAAATAAATAAAGAAGAATCAGATTGGGACTTGACAAACCCAACAGTTAGCAAATAACTTTTGAGCTCATTGTACCAAGCTCGGGGGGCTTGGTTCAAGCCATAGATTGCTTTATTCAACTTACAGACATGGGTGGAGAGACTTTGATCTTCAAAGCCTGGTGGTTGCCTCAAATAAACTTCTTCCTCAAGGCTTCCTTATAAGAATGCATTATTGACATCAATCTGATGGATTGGCCAGTTGTACTGCGTCGCAATGGTAAGCACCAACCGAACAGTAACTGGTTTGACTACCGGGCTGAATGTGGAATGGAAGTCTAAGCCTGGACACTGGGTAAATCCCTTTGCAACAAGACGAGCTTTATACCTGTCAATGGAACCATCAGATTTATGTTTTATACGAAATAACCACTTTCACTCAACCACATTCATCGAAGGAGTAATAAACCAAATCCCATGTTCGATTCCTAACAAGTGCATCAAATTCAGCTTGCATCGCTTCTCTCCAATGAGGGTGAAGACATGTTTGTTTGTATGTATGAGGAACAAAGGACGGGAGTGTTGAACACTGACACTAAACTGCTTGGGTTTGAGGCTATTTGTTTTGGAGCGTGTGACCATGGGATGACTTGAAGTTGTCACCACGGGTGAAGGATCATATGGAGTCAAAGCAAGTGCAGGTTGGGAAGGGTTATTGGCAGATGACTAAGAAGGTAGGTTGGTGGGAGGTATAGGGGAATGGAGTGGTAACACTGAGGTACTTAGTTGTTGGTGATTTTTGCGTTGATAGGTGATTAATGGTCTGGGTGACGGTGGAGGCTGAGTATTATCTGGTGGTGGTGTAATGGTGTGTGGAAATTAAGGAGAGGATAAAATCTGAGAATTACCTGATGCAATGGAGACACCTTCTGATCTGGCAGGCATTGAGTTGGGTAGTGGAGAGTGCACGGGTAGAGCATCTGGAAGGGGATGACAAGAATCAAAACTTGATGGTTTATTAGTCACAGGTAGAACATCAGAACAAATTTCCCAAGTGATATCAGTGCTCTGTTGGATTTTTAGATTCAAAAAAAATTTATGAAAAGGATAGGTGTCTTCCAAAAACTGAACATCCCTAGATAAGTACAATTTATTTTTGACTGGATCAAAACATTGGTGGCAGTAATGTTTATTAGAAAATCCTAAATATACACAAGGAGTCTATTTTGGCTCTAACTTATTTTTGGCATATGGTTTAAGCCACGGGTAACATAAACAACCAAAAACTCTAAGTGATTCATACTTTGGGGCCTCGTGAAA